AAAAAATTTAACAATTGATAATAGTGTGTTTTCATATAGCCTTGTTATTCATTTCGCGATCTTGTACTTCTACATACATCTGACGATGAAGTTTGAAATTTTTTTTAATCTTCTATCTATTTTTTGATTCACTGACTGCAGTTTTCTGTAGGATTTGATTTAGACATTTGATTGTTACATTATCAAGCTTTATCTTGTATTTTTGAGATTCAAAATTTCAACATATGTAACTTGACTTCATATGTAGATTATTCTCTACTTCAAACAAAGAGGTGTATGATCTCAAGTATAAGTGAAAGATTGTTAGTAGTATTTAATTACATTGTTACATACTAATTAGACACTAGGTTGAGTATCATGTTTTGCATGTACATGTTTTTACTGTACTAGCTAACATGCACATTATATATATTTAACATTAATAGTTTCCCAAGTTGTAACTACAATTACAACATTTTTCATATGTATTCACAAGAGTCATGTGTTAGGTTTGATCCTAGATTCAGATCCGACCCACAATTGCGTTTGGGTCAACTGTACCCTTGTCCATACCCATTATCCATCCAACTCATACCCAACACTCCATCATCTACTTAAGAGTAGTTTGAAGTGTTTTTTAAAAAGAGTAACATGTCAATTATTTATTGTAAATAGTTACAAACTTATTCATAATTTGATAATCTGATTCATATAATCCTTCAAAAGTTCAATTCAATCAACTTCCACCAAATAAGTAAGGTAGAGTAGAGTACTGCGATTTTAACCAACATGAAAACCTTTTTATCTTGGGATTGAAGATTACTTAACATTCTATCAAGTTGATGGAGAATATAAGCAACCTTTTAACTCTATATAGCAGAGAATACCCTAATTTATGAGACAAGATTTCATATCACATTATCAATGAGGTCACACATCGATGTGTAAACCTGATGTCTAATATATTCTATAATTAATTATTTTTACTCCACGTATCCGAAAGGCGATGCACAAGTAATCACTATAAAGCTATGTGGGTCAAAAATGAAGGCATATTCATCAACGTCTCCTTCATCTTCACTCTCACTCTCACTTCGTGCAGATGACAAAAAAATGAACAATGTAAATCAAGTTTTAGCAATATGGATGCAGGTACAACAATGATGGGTGTCCCCTAGAAGGCGAGAATAGCAATACTTTTAAGGTTTATTCAATGCATTCAGTGCCATAAGAGCAATGGGCTGAGAAATTTTCAGTTGAATGGGTGGGTTATGAATGGGTAGTACCCATTCATTATCCACCCATGCGTCCAAGCCCATAGAGTAACCTCCCGGTAAGTTCGCAAATTGATACTATGAAGATTTTGCGCACTTAACAGGGAGGTGCGTACTTAAAGAGAAACAAGTATGTTCATACCAAGGTCCGGGCTATGAATGTTTGTTTTATTCACAATTATATGAGCTTAAGACTTTGAGTGTAGTATGAACTCCCTGAACTATGTACAATGTGTCTAAGCCGAGACAAAACAATGTTTTGTTTTGTTTTGCTTTGAACTTCAAATCGAGGTCAAGTGAACTAAAAGTTCCCGGATTGTGTAAAATAATAGGAGATCCAATGGCATCCTCATATTAAATTAGCTATGAAAAGTGTTTGTGGTAAAAATTTTATACAAACACGAATTAAAGGTTCCACAAGAAAGTCGTGAACTGTAGTATGTTTTTGGAGGCATCCGCGGAAGGATTTCACCGTGCTCGTTAAATGATCCACATTTCTCAACGTTAAGTTTCTAATGTCTATGATCAACCATCCACGGATTCCCAACAACCGCCCATGGACCTAAGATTTTGTATCGGAGCTAGGATTAACACAACATCTTTTTCTTTTATTTTATATAAACTCTCTTTTAACAAATCCGAAGATGTTTTATTGAACACTTTTTAATCGTATTGACTCTTCCTAAACTCAATTCTAATCCTTACCATTTGGATCATTTTTATTTATTTATTTATTTGACCACTCCAAGGCAACTCCAAATGCATACTAGTGAGTTTGTACACAAAGTCTCTCATGCTACGATACAAAATCAAGGCAACTCCGAATGCATACCAGTGAGTTTGTACATAGTTTTTTTGGTGCTAAGGTCCAAAATCAAGAGTAAACAGCGAAGATCGTAAGCTAAGGTCCTTAAGCAATCACTCAGTGAAACTAAACTAACTAGAAACTGAACTAGGATTCAAATTCAAAACTGATATGCGATGACTCGAATTAAACGTTGGGCCTTGATAAGGTAAAGGTTCAAGATGAGGCGGAACCTATTTGTGTACAGATGAGTATAATGGTTATTTTGCTTTTCTTTATTTTTCATAATGTTTTTATTTGATAATTTGTTGCTACAATTCTTCCGGGTTTTACTAAACCCTAAACTTTTTGGAAAAAAAAGTTTACCTCCTTACCCGGTATGCAAACTTAAAAAGGTGCTTACTTCGCAGGGAGGCTAGTGTACCCATTACCCACCCATTGTGCCATGGGTATTCAGTACCAATGGGTACGGATAAACATTGCAGTACTCTGGTGTACACTTCACTTATATGTTATATTTCAACATGAGTGAGATATTATGTTGAGGGCTAAGTAAGAACCCTGTTATGATTTTTCGGTTCATAAAGTATGCATAATCCATTAATAAGATAGGTCTAGACGTGTTTACATTTACAAGATATTTGTTTGATGTGACCCCATCAAGATAATCTTTGCTTGATGGAACCTATAAAGTCTCGTTTTACCCTATGGGACCCCAGAGACGGTGTGCCATCGATGAGTTTTAGTATATGTTCTAATATCTAGACTTCATTCTTCAGCTGCCTCTGCCTACGGTGAAATTCTCTTGATTCGCACCAGATTTTTGTGTAAATTGACACGGCGAGCATATCATTCACGAGATAGGGTTGGTGAGCGTGAAGTTGTGGTTGCTCTGAGTTTAGTTGGAGAGAAGAGAGGAGGAGAAGAGATGTCACCGAAGTTTGAGAAGATTTTCTGTTTGCTAATTGCCAAACCTGTAATTGTTGGACAACAAATGTTCTAGACCTTATCAAATTTGGTAGATAGAAAGTCTTAGTTAGAGTTTAACATTGATACATGAAAATAATACTTTGACGAAGTGAAATGTAAAAAAGGCAAGGAAATTCCCCATGTCTTCCCCAAGCAAGTTCAAGTGTTTTCTTGGACAATGATCTAATAATCTAACAACTTACGAATTGACTCTTCATACTACAACAATCTGACATGCAACGTCGTTGAATTATCATTGTGTAAAATGTAACTTGTTTTTCACTTCAAACAAATGTTCTTATCAGGGTCCCATCGAGTAAATTTCTCTTACATTTACATTTTAAAATCTAAATGAAACTTATTTCTCCTAGCAAGCATATATATTCTTGCCGGATCCCATCGAACAAATATCTCTTACTTTTTCGTATTAGAATCTAAGTGTTCGCCTGTACACTTGCTTCGATCACGCACAATAATTTGACTATTATTGTATCAGAATCTAAATGAGACTTGTTTTTCCCATCAAGCCAACATGTTATTTACGGAATCCCATCAATCAAATATCTCTTACGTTTAACTATTAGAATCTAAGTGTTCGCCTGTACACTTGCTTCGATCATGCACAATAGTACCACTGCTCCTTCACTGTCGCTAATGACATTGTATAGTGGCTTGGTGGAGAGCTACTTAAGTCCAAGGTTCCCATTTGACCTGATAATAGTAGCTTACCATGAATCACTGATATTGTCAGTAGTACGATAACATAGGTATTGTTAGTACATCTTGTCATGCGATGAAGGCTTAATTTCATAATACCTAATGCTCGGCTCTAAGGTAATATACTATATGCCACATCTGTGAGTATGATGACGAATCCAGAACAGTAAGAACCAAATGTCCACACCTGTAGGTCTGGAAGATACTCCTACTCTATATTTCTCCTCTACATTTGGATGAACTTGTAAGACTGAGATTTTCCTCTGTTTCTGCATTTTCTGACTGGACAATACGCTATTGAACTCACTATTATCTCTATCGATACCTTCCATTCAGCATTCATTCACGATTATCAGGTGGATTATATATGTTCCACGAGGCTGTATCTTCTGCTGCGGATGGTGAGAAACATGCCTGAAGTTTGGGTATTTCGCGTACACATCGAGACAGTCTGGCAAAATCTACCATTCTCGTCCCTGTCGGATTTGGTGAGAAACTTTTCCTACACTGCTACGTTTTCACATCTTCAACAACTTCGCTAGGGATGAATAAACCTGCTATTCACCTCATCGTTCGAACCTTGTTGCAACTCTTCGAATCTTACTCAGTATACAGCGAAATTACAGTCCGACACGCTCCACACTGCTACAAACTACAAACTACGTTTCGACCAACTTGCAGCGGGGTGCAATTGGAAGTCACAAACTTTTACATTCAAAAGTAAACAAGGGAGTCATTACAACAGGCAGCTTCTGATTTATAAGTACAAAAGAATGCAGTACAAACAATACTCAAGGGAGGGAGTGCACAAGAAATAAGACTGAGGTTAGTGGAAAACAACCGACGACTGATTGTGTACCGGATGCCCAGGGCCATGCTGATATCAGTCGGTATGCAATGTTGAAAAACATGTGACTTGAGATACTACAAGATGGATACATGAAGTTAGCTAAAGGTTAGTAAAAAACGGGGTAGTGAAAGCAAGAAAAGTATCGCCATAATCGTGAAAAAGTGTGCAAAGTACATCTACCGTGTTGAATTAAACAAATATTGATGACAAATGATAGTTCCCTACGTATCACACACAAACACCACAACAAGAAGTGGATGAGGTACATCCAACCGAACGAGTACTTTCCTCAGCATCACTTTCCTACGGCAAGAGTTCCATAACCCTTGAGAATCGACTCGCAAAACTTCTGTCACTCCACCTGTAAATGTCATGTCACTTTTCATCTCATGTTGAAAGGTAGTCAAAAAATTGACTTCATTGAGTGCCCAGTACACAGGCAATTTACAAAGGATGACAGTTTGAAATATCCACATAACATTCAGCCCCATCATAGAGGTGATGGTCCACAATTCTGTACAATAGACCCGACCCAATCAAAAGTATATAAATACATACATTTTTGACACCTCCATCAAGAGCATCTTCCTCAGCGGATAGTGATACAATGATGGTCACTCAATTTCGAAGTGATTCTCATTGTAAAGTACCCCGCTATGAGAAATCACCTTTTCATTCTACTCATTATTGTAAAGAATTTTTGGATTTCACACACTAAGCTAAGTCCGACACAATTACAAGTATGGAACCTGCTCTCCAGACCTACTGCTATTTGCGAAGGCATTATAAGCATGAGGAAAGGAGAAAACCTGCCTTATCTGGAGTGCATCTCACCGGCATAAATTGAGACAATTGAGTCTGTCGCGCCTGCGGCCAGAAGCACACTGTATGGATGGAAATGTAGGCAACTAACAGGTCCTATTCTGTGACCTAAGAAACTATTGTGGTAGCGCACCATGCTCAGCTGCTCGCCACTCGTACTGAAGACCTTGATGAACGATTTTGATGACCCGCTGGCAATCACTGGAGCATGTCTATGGACGGCTAGAGATGTTAGATGACCTTTGTGGGCGTCGATACTCAAGTATGGGCTGGCATTATTTCTGATATCCAGAAATTTAATATCTCCCGATTGGGAAGCAGACACCATCTGCGAGTAAAACAAACGATTTGTTATTACAACGCTTTTCATGACTTTTATATCCATTCGGACGACTTTTCCAATATCTAATTCAAACTCAAAGCCAGAGGATTTCAGAGATAATCTACTTCACTGATACAATGGTCTCTGAGCAAGAGACTTCTTCGTAGGCAAACCCATCTAACAAAACACGCTGTACTGTCAGGTGGAGTTGTACACGCTGTACAGCATGTACAGTCCCAGGTTAGAGCACCAAAACTATATTTGATCGTTAAATGAAGTATATTTGATACGTTGGCACAGTTTCCATAGGGTGCATATCAACAGGAGACATACAGGCACACTTGCTGCTAGCATCAACCTGGACTATTATGATAGATCACCGTAAGCTCCAACAGTATTTCTCGAAGCATTACGAGAGTACGAGACTAACGTATCTCTCATACTTCGGCTTCCAAAAACATTCAAAATGAAGAAGATCCCTCGGCATCAAAGCTTTGACGCCTTATGAACAATAAATAGAGGTTCCTTTTGTACTTCTGGCACCGCTTAGCAAAACTGTACATTTATGCATGTGGGAGAAATGTGACCTGAAAGATCAGAATTTATCACCTTTGTGAGATCCATTCCTGGTTGAAAGTCAATACCCATAACCCTATTCGAGTGTGCTTTCATGGCGCAAACAAGCCTGAAGATATAAAAGAGAAGACATCAAATTAAGTATTCAGTGTACCCAGATGGACACAGATTCAAGTGACACATGTTTTAACAAGACATTTGGCCTTACAAACTAAAAACAAAAACTACAACCACATAGGACTAAACTGAACTGGAAGGTGGTCAAATGATAACTAGCACTGAGAAAAATCCACATGCGTTGCTCGGCTCAGTGTACATTGTAGTATTAGGCTTCTGGTAAGGGACTCACATTCCACGGGTTCTGATATCATAAACTCTGACAAAACCGTCTCCACATCCCGTTGCTAATTGCCCAGTGTGTACTTGAGACGCCGACTGCCAACAAGTCATAAATAACAGTAAGTAACCACTCTTGATGCATATTTCGATCTCTCCCAATTGTCCATTCATTTTCAGGACAAAGGTGAACTTCATGAGCCTCACCATGGCTGATGTGCAGCTGTCCGACTGAGAAGGTATGGTTGCAAAACAAAGCTCGGTATCCAAGTTCCACACGGTGATGGATGAGATTTCGCCAGATGCGTACTGCCAACCAGCCAAAGACGAATGCGATAAGTTCCGGGGACCGACTCCGTTTACAGAGGCAAATTCACCTAGAATGACTGCGAAAACAAGGTAATTCTGTGGTAGGAGTTACCAAGAGACCCGTGTACTGCTGCCAGTCTACAACAGCACTGATTCCCCTGGAACCGGGTTTGTGTCCTTGAATTGTTTGGAATGCGGTGGCAAGGCGCTGATTGTCTTTTTGAGTGTAATCTTTCCACACTCTTACACTCCCATCACCTTTAAAACAACAAAAAATTCATTCTCAATAAATGAAGCGCAGCCTCCAACTAAACCCAAACAGCATAAACCATCCCGATGTATTTGCGCACTCTAATCGATTCAAAAGTTTACCAAATGGTGAATGGACAGAATTGAACTTCTACACACGATCTAGGACCCAAAAACGATTTGCTAAGAAACTATACTGATTATTAAGAAGAACAAAAAAGAGAGTGAAATGAAAGCGATCATAACTTGAAGCCACCAGCAGTAAACTGTCGTCCAGCTCATTCAGCAAACATAACTTGGATACCCCTTTGTCTGGAGCATTGTGGTTGTCAAAAGTATTGACCAGTTGTTCTTCCTCGTAGTTATATATCCTGAACCAAAAAAAGATACGGCTTCAATCTAACAGCAGATACATAAAAATTTCAGCGGACAACGCACAACATCCCAGGAGTAACTAAACTTCTTTAAACGGGTACTCAAGTCCTGAATGTACAGCAATGTCGCCTTCTAAGATTCCTGGGTTCAATCATGTGACACAACCAGCACACTGACCTGATAGTCTCCTTCTCATCCGCACAGCAAACGAGTGGAGAAAATGGATGCAACAACACAGCCTTGGTCCCCATTTCTGAAAGCGTGACCCAGCTTGAAATTGGGTCGCTGACCTTACTGACACCTACATCAACACGAATACTGGTTAAGTCTTCCGTCATATGAACTACGGGTCGATACTGATAGAAGGGGGACACAGAAACTGGAATTACCCTCTTTCACTCAAATAGAGGAACTGAGCTGCGCAATGTCAAGAACCAGGGAGACAATCACATTTGTTCATTGCTACTTGATAACCTCACCGCAGCGGCATAAGGTTTGTCAAGAACAGAAAGGTGGACTCCTTTGTTGTCCTGAACCACTCACTCGAATGTTGGCACTTGGACATGCCATCGAGAGCCACTCTTTCTCTTTCCTCCCTTCTAGCTAGCACCTCATCCTCATCTTCGTGGGTGGGCTCAAGAAGCGGTCTTGAGAAGTGCCCACAACTCCAACTGTACAAAGTCGATGTAGGGACAGTGGATTCCATGCTCAGTGAGGCTGGGCCAACCGGAACTCCACTTCCATCCGCTAGACCAGTTGCACTGACTGATCTAGGAACAGGAGACGTAGTTGCAATCCCTATTTCTCCAGATATCCGTATTGGTATTCTTCCCATATCCCGAGGAGTAGATGCTGTAGAGGAGAACTGTTCCATTGATGAAACTCTTCGTATTCCCATCGGGCTAGTCAGGAAATTCGGTCTTGATGGAGGACTTGGGGGCGGTGTTCTGAATGTGCTCGCAAGATTCCCTGCAGCCAACTCACGATTTAATCTCGAATGAAGATAGTAACTTTTCAAATGACTCTAAAGATCTGATGAAATGTGGTACTACTTCTTCCTGGCAAACACGTGTTGAATTCGCAACTCAATTCTTTCCGTTTGGACTTCACTAATATGGAAGGAATCCGTGTGTCTACCTGAAGTGGAAGCAACCCATGAAGTAGAGCGTACTAGTCCACTTGGCAACGGTGTAGGAGGTAGTGCAGGGACTGACGCATTCCGCGTGTGGCCTGGTCCGCTGTTCGTCCTCACAGGCTTCACCACGACTTCTACACCTACAGACCGTAAAATTTGTCGCCCAATGCTGGCAACTCGAGGCGATGGGTCTCTGGCCAAAGCATACACTGCTGCAACACACTGTACATAGATGCCACTCTCTTCACCCCTTAATCTCCAGCTTCTGGAAACTCCGTTGGAAGCTGGACCATTGCCTAGTGATCTTGCTTCTTCAGTGTAACCCAGCTCCGATGGAGATCCATGAAGATTTCCCGACGACGGTAGGGAGCCACTGCTCATAACGGGTCTTAACGGGCGAGGAGGAGTAGTTCCCTCGAGTCCAACTCTCAGTCCCGCACTTTGGTCCATCATACTTGATCCAGCAAAGGCTAATTGTTGCGTATAACCATAGCTAGCATTCCTACTCGCCGCAAACGTCGGTGACAACATACTGCTGGGAGGCTTCAAATAAGCTGAGGCAGCAGCCCGGAAAAGTCTGTTGTGAGCAATAGCCAACCGTGCAAGAGCTGCAAAATTTAAACGCAGACTTTTAATAAATTTCTCATACTCTTCGAACTTCAACAACAAAGAACTCTAATCAAAAACATTCTAACCAGAACGCAAAAGAACAGTGTCAGGCAATGTAGCCTGCAGCAAGCTCATAGTTTTCGTGCAAAACCACAGTAATTACCTATGGCGAGCTCAGTCCTTACGAGAGGACTTCCGTCATTGATAACCTTCAGTAAGCTTCGGGCTATTTCGCGCTCAGACGTAAGCGCCTCCTCATCTTCTTCGTCTTCCACGGACGAGGTTTCAGTTGGAATAGTAGACTCACTGTGTGCCTTCACCAATGTCCCCAAGGCGTACGTTGCAGACGCACGAACCTGTATATGATATATGAGCAAAACGTTCATTGTCGATGCGCTTCACCAGCGATTACACACGCAATTGACACAGGTGAAAAAATTCATTTCCATGGAAAGCATGGATGCCGATAGATGGCAAACAGCTACACAAAAGTCAGGCTAGGAGTTTGTTCCATCAACACTACGTACCTCCGGGTTCAGTTCTGATAAAAGGGAAGTGAGTGTTGTTCGAGCATTATCTCTGTAGGCAGCTTGGCCTTCTGGGGCACCATCCCAGAGTTTCCCAAGGCATAGACATAGCCACTGCAGAAGAAGTGGCTCCGGCTGTGATTCAGCGCCCGGAACTGTTTGGATGTGCACCAGGCAAATATTTATCAACCCTGCTTGTATGCAGGCTGATTGACCCCTTGGATGACCGTCAGCAATAACAGCTAGAACAAATGCAGCCATAGCCCTTTGCTCCGCGCAGACGTCGTCACTATCCAGGAACTTGATAAAGTACTGGTGCCCTCCATCTTTCACAAGATCGACCTGGCATGACTGGAAAGCACATGTCGAAAACTGTTAGATACAGGAGGCACTGAAACACCTGTTGTCGCATGCGACCCGGTCGGATGCGGTACGGCGTGAAGCTGGTCCGCCGCTCGACGCGGGGTCGAGGTGAGAGCAAGAGACCACTTTGCCAATCATTTCTACCTAAAAGGTTGGGGGTAGACGCGGGCCCTTGGTAACAAGGGTATCTATCACGAAAAGCCATCACCACAATCGAAGTCACCAGTAATGTCTTTTTCTTCTCCTTGTTAGGAAATCCAGTAAAACATGACTTCGACATACTTCGGCCAGACAATATGGGCATAACCTGTTTGTGCTTGAGAGACATAGCAGTTACCTTGTCAAGAGCAAGGATCTTTGTCCATATGAAAACAAGGATTTGACGCAATTCCGTAGCGGTGGTTTGCAATAGTTTGAGTACATAAGGAAAGATTCCCACAGAAAGAGCCTGCATACCCAGAGAGATCAAAAGTAAACTTAACAAAGTCCAGTTATCCTTGAGACGAAGATTGGGAATGAAAAGTAGATTTATAACATCGACATTGGAACAGTTCCGACATGACAAGTGTCGATGATAAAGTGGTACGATCAACGCAAACTTCCTTTGAGCATTTAGACAGCTCTCAATTTACTAGATTCTACAGGAGAGTTCCCTTACCAGATCCACAGCCCACGCGCCCATGTCCAAAAATCTACCCAGAAGTACTAAAGCCCGAAATCGATGAGATTGACTTAGCAAAACCTGCAGACAATATACGCACACTTTGATCACTAACTTCCAAATTTCAAAGAAGTGATACCAAAGGTACCATTTGCACAAGGAGATACCAAGTGTCATACATATCCCTAACATGATAGTACCTGATCATTCAACATGCAAAGGGTACTTGTTCTAATATCGTACATCACCAGTACATTATAAAGACCATACCTGAAGAACAATTGGAAGCTGTTCAGGTGGGTTTTTCCGGCTACTGCCATGTTCAAGCCAAACTTCAAATGCAGTGAGCTGCTCAGTGAAAAAAGGACTTGGCTGCAAGTACGATACACAGTAAACTAAACATGAGAGCACAATCACAGAGTGCATGATAAATCGAACAAGCTGATATACCGAAAGGAGTATTGGATGTAGACATCCAATACTTTTTTTCTACATAGACAATCCTTTTCTACATTAAAAACTGATCTGCTTTACAGCACCTGAAATTCTAAATTCGAATCACTCAGTAGAGCTGGTAACTGCGACAAGCAGATCTCTGCTGCCATGTCCCATGCATGCCTGGAAAACCAGTTAACTGCGTTAACATTGTACATAATTGTCTCAAACAGAACTTGCTGTAAGAGATAAAAGGAACCTGGGTAGTGAGCTGTTAACATAAAACGAAAGAGATAAATAAAAACTTCATGTAGAAAAGTTTTGCTTTACCACATAGGATGCTGATGCGTAGGCGGTAAGGCTGGATAAGACTGTGGAGAACAGTTTGCTGCCCTCATAATTCGCTCTGCCAACAAGAAATTTCTGAACAAACTTGCCACAAGTAGATCCTGCCTGAATAACCTTTGGAAGAGATCTGCGTGTATACAAACTCTTCAGTAAGTATCACCTTCAGGTGAATCACTCTAACTCCAGGTACAAGATAAATGAAAATAACGTGTCCACCAGAAAAACCTACCACGGGGAAGTACATTCCAGGCAATCGTATCAGTGATAGCAGTGAAAATCCAATTTAGTTCCCCAAGTGGCGTTTTCCGGTCATTTTGCCGGCCAGGAATTCGATCTATAAGGTCAGGATCCAATGTATCCTTCAGTAACGAACGAGGGCAAAACCTGGTGGTAAACATCCAACGCAACCAGACATAAGTTTAATCCAAACCCCCTTAGAGGCACAGTAACCATCCGTGTACCTAGCACTAGTGTGACATAGAAGGACTAGGTATCCTCTGATCGATGAGATTTTCGACAAGATATAATACGTGCTGCCATGTCTAGAACAATGGAGCGCACCAAATATCCATATTCCATGTATTCCAAAACAATCGTACTGAATACTTCCGGCCTTCATATTGATCCTCTAATGTATGTTACACATGGATATGGTAAGAAGATCGAACACCCAACATTCATTCACGACGCAGCAAAGCGTTCTATTCCAACAGGTAAATAGCCCTCTTCTTGAAAGAACTCCAGACACTGTTTGACAATACGAACTAATGGCGTACCATCTCAGCGCTATCTTGATGGGAGTTGTTAGGCATGAGGTGAACACATCCGCTGGAAGCTCTGCATTTTGCGGTAGGATTTCATGGGCACCGCATGCTGCCAGTAGTATACAATCCTTCATAGCAGGAGCGGGATGAGGTGAGGGGTTGCCACCACCGTAATCTGGCCTCTGTGTACGAGATCAATCAGTCAGTTCTGTTTCCAGCCCGGCGGAGTAGATTAAATTCGAGCAAACCAGCCAATCAAGCTCAAGATGTTCCATTATAATTTCCAACACGCAGTTAACATAGCTATCAAATCTATTTTCGACTTACATCGCAAAACGCGTTGACAATCATGCCTGCGGCTGAGCAGTCAAAAACATAGATTGATGGCGTTCCCAACCATGACTCAAGTTCGTATACTGAGAGTGGAATGTACTGCGTGTAACTCTGCATCAACAAACAAACAAGATAGTCAAGAATCGAGGAGCCCAGAGTAAATTAAGCCAAAAGGCCTCTTCATCTTCCGAAACAAAGAGACAAACGACGAGACAAATTATCAGCCGCAAGGAGACAAAAAAGCAAAGACCTGGAAAGTAAAACCCTAGAACTTGACTTAGATACAAAAACAATTTACTCAAAAGTTGTACGGCTGTCCCAAAAGGGCACCAGAAATTCAGCGATGTTGAAGATGATGACAAACGTGCAAATCCTGACCCTCCCTGTAGACTATTTCATGAGGTTTGTAGCAATGATAAGAATTGTGATGAGGAAGAACACTTAAACACGGTCTCGCGCCAAATACAACGAGAGTAGACATACCACTACCAGTCATCATCCCCAAAGTGAAATGGCTTCTAACACATTTTATTGAACTCCAACGATGAGCTAAGGTGGACCTCATTATGAACTGTCAAAAGTAACCGTAACCAAGGCTCTTGAGGACATACGTGTTAGAGAAGAACAACAGGGTGTTTTGGCGAACAAGTTAGACGAAAACCTGTGCGCTCGTGAATGATCACTCCATGCTGCCAGAAAGTCGTACCTTATTAAACAGCCAAATCTCCCCATTCACAGTAGGTCTGGGAACGCCGTGTCCATTGTAGTGAAACAAGACTCTTTCATTTTTTGCGCTTTTGCGGCTGGTAGTACATATTTTTTTCACCTCTTCTACGGTAGGGTCCAGCTGCACTCTGTACCTCGCCTGCGTCAAACACAATGTCAGGCCGCAGACAGTATCTACACACACGCTTTACACTTTGTAGGTTGTGGCTCCAACATGAAAGAATGATCTGCCTTAACTGAACGGTAAGAAGATTACCCTAGGCTGCCATCGTTCATACTGTACTTGCAAGTTCTTCCCAATGGCATCAATCGCCTTTAACGGAAGCATGGAGGACGGATCTGCACAGAGCACAGACCTTCGAATCAACATCATGCGATACATTTTTCACTCAATAATCTCACAGAAAAGTAATTTAGCTGTTGCTCAAAAGCCCTGCTTTCCAAGAATCAGCCCACTAAGAGGATCACAGCTATTCAAGCAAATTTCATATTTGCAAGTCTGTTTTACAGTTCAGTTCAGGTGAACTATGGCATAAATACCAACTATTGAGAAAACCCCACGTACCGATCCAGCACTCCATTCTTGCACATGGAGAAATTTTGATAACGTCGGGAGGGTCGACCCCGATATTCAGGCACAACACCAGTGCCACGCACCCTGTTTTCATCTGTTAAGCAAAAATACGTGCAGTAAGATCTCACGTGCTGCAAGAGAACCAGTGACGACCACTATCAGTCCAGTCCTAAGCGTCGGGTATTTACGTTGATCTACCCAATAAGATATAAATCACTTACCTGTTCTCAGACACGTGACGAGAGGAGCATCACCTGTAGATTTGCAACTGCCCAAAAGTAACGCCTACAGTCCACTCGGGAAGAATGCTTCAATAAATAGCTCAGAAAGACAATCCACATTCCTACACTGCCTTCACATTCACTACAATTGCTATGTAAGAAGTGGACTAGGTGAAAATAAAGTAGGCTAATATCTTGACATCACACCTATGACCGGCAGGCCGCCGATTGTCAGTACTATGCTGGGTACGACAAAGCCTTAAATTCTTACGTTCTTGCACACGAGATACTGCAGGACACACAAAAGGTTGGGAAAACCCATAACACATCGCTGTGAAAAGCTGGAGTAAGAGATAATTGGCCAGTAATCCAGGCTGCCCTCAGAGTGGTTTTTTAATAGATAATTGAACGACTAGCTTTCACATTTCGAGAGCAGATTATCTTAGCTACGTCGATCATAGAAAGTCGTCTTGTCCAGAGTGAAGTTTGCTTGATGAAGCCCAATTTCGGTATGTCCAACCCACTGAAGAAAAATTTCCTAGTGGGTGAAGAGAGCGTTCAAGTACTTATCCCAGACTACGTAGAAGCTACTCCAAACGACTCAGTAAGATTCTCGATTGAAGTGCTACGTCGCGCCACCTCCTGTTCACCGGACGAAGAACGCCCCGTCCACACATCTCACCGCTTTCCGATCGAAGCAAACCCGCGAAACCAAATCTGAATCATAAGTTCGCTGACTACTATTGTCCCTGATCTGGAGAAAGATGTGACCGAAAGAAAACGAAATCCGGAAATTCAGGTACTCTAGAGTTTACAAGTGGATCCAACCTCAAGCCCAGTCCTACTTGTTCCATTAGAGTGGTGACGTTAATTGGTATCGTGAATGAGAGACATCCAAGAGCTAGTCGGAAGCAAGACGGAGGCCATGGAGAAGGGAACACCTTTGAAAGATAAGAGGTCAGAGAGGCTAGTTCAATCAATTTATCATTCGAACATTTCTTTCAAGTAGCACATGAATTGCCCGTAACCGGTATAATGCCTCCCAAAAGGCATCGATGGAGGAAAAACAACCCCCGTCAATCCGGTTAGGTTCCAGTTAGAGGTTTGTGTCTGACTACTCACCATCGAAACTCTTGACAATTGAAACAGTCTTACAGCCATGCCCAAACCTTGGAAGAAAAGACCAAGAAGGAAATGCTCAAAGCGCTCGAAGGCGAGCGCAGCAGCATATCGAGCATGAGCTAATGTTGAGTTACATGTCACCGAGGAAGAAGAGGGTCCCGAATTCATTACTGCGGACGGGCTTGCGGTTGCCCGCAGAGACATCCGTAAGCCTATGTACAGAGCCACCCCGAAGTTCTAATACACAAGTGCTCGCAAATACAACTGCATCATTCATTCATCGTCTCGAGCCGAAAGGCGGTTTCGTGAAGAAAGTAATGGGACGTCGATTTCTGATTTTAATCTCAGATCTGCCCTGTCATCTCCAAATGTCAACCCTCCTTAATTGCATCTCAAATGGAATGATACAATGTGCCAGCCAACTTCAGTTTCGGATGTCAGGTCTCCAACGACTCTAAATCAGGATGTTTTATCCCGCTTTCGGCAGATGGGGTGTGAGAGTCGAGAGGAGGGAGAAGCAAGTCCCAACCATTGTACTACTGGATAACATGACCAAAAGGTTAAGAACTTGAGACTCACTCTGTCTTTCATTCTCCACTTCGACACAAGACCGCTCTCCGCAGGTCCTAACGAGGTGGAAGTTTCACCCGCATCATGGCGCAAGTCACAAAGATAGAGATTGGGTGGCAAATACGCGACAGTCTCCCCATCCTGCTGTGGTGCTGGTTCCTCTGCTTCATCCGCATGAACTCTAGTTCTTTGCACAAGCTCGTCCATGTTGTGTGGTACTGAGGACAAGGAAAGTTGAGCTCCTAATTGACCACCCGCCATACCTTCCATGGACCTCTGTCTAAACAAAACTGCATCTCCCAAAGCCATATTGCCTCTTACCCAACATTCCTTCTTCAATACTCCAGAAATCTTCCTTTGGTCAAGGATTCATTGAGGTGCCCTGCAAACCCAGAGCTTCCACTCGTATCGAATTTCATCTTACAGTGAAGCCTACAAGGACTGAAACCGGAGTTCAGAGCGCGAACATGCAATGGCGACGAAAGTGAACTGAGAAGTGTCCGGGGGGCGCCAAAGCACGAATGCGTAAGTAAGCTGCGGAGTCCATCGCAGGTCACTTTCATACATGACTCTCTCTCCTCTTCGGAACGCGTTTCACGTCTGCTCCTGGCATCCAATAGTCTGAGAAATATAACAGCCGTGTTTGGAGTTTGCGATCCTCAGCCACCGGTACCGTCGCGCCCAGAGAACCCCACTTCACACACGCGTGGCTAAACCTCTGTTGTGTTGCGGGTGAATCGACATCATGTCGCACAAACAACTCCGGCTCAAAGAAGTGAAACGATCATGGCCAGTCGGCTGCATCTCGCCCCTGCAGTAAAGAAAACCGATGAACGACCGACGCCCGTGCACAGGAGAAACCATGCAATGCCGGAGAGGGTAAGGGACCGAGACACGCTGAACAAGAGAAAGCGAGGAGGAGCTGGGGGTGATGATGTATGAAGAACGAATTACAACTTGAGATGTTCCGGAGCTCCGTAAGCAAAATGAGGGGAAATTCTCAGCCCAGGCGTGTGCAATTGACGTGCCACGCCCTTGTCATAAAATTGCATCCGACGCCGTGCACAAGAAGCACACTCAAACCACCATTTGATTTCCCAATTGCGGCCAAGGGCACCAGGGCATACGCCGTGGTATGCAATTACCCACGACTGTGAAGTCAGACTCTGCAGACTCGCCTCAAACGATACGGAAAAAAAAAGAAAAACAAGTCTAAAAAACTTGACATATGCACAGAAGTTACTCCTCTCTCCCTCTCCCTCTCCCTCTCTCTCTGCGCGTTCACCCTCGCACACACCACTCTCTCTCCCCCTTTCCCCCCTCGCCACCCCCTCTCTCTCTCTCTTCCTTCTTCGTCCTTGTTCTCCTTTCCATTCGCTGCTCCCTTGCTTCCCTCCTTCCTCCCTTCCTCGCTTGCTTCCGTCCTCCCTCCCTCCCTCCCTATCTTTCGCTAGCCAGCAGAAGAATTTTCCACAATCCTCCGCCCCTGATGATGCGAAGATGCGGACCAAAACGACAAAGAGACTTCCCACCAAAAGCACCACCAAGGGCAGCACCAGTACCAGCACCAGAAGCCGAAGCACCAATTCTGTGTCTCTCTGTTCTGTCTGTGTGCTGCAAACCAACACACTCTCTCTAGCACAAACCCAAATCAAAGCAACACTGCTCAAGCAAGTGGGGTCGCCCTTCCGGTCCAGTCCTTTCCTTTCCCTTCCCTTCCCCTTTCCTTTGCTCTCCCCGACCCTTTTACTTTCCGAATTGCTCCTTCCCACCTTCCTTCCTTCCTTCCTTCTCCTTCTCCTTCTCCTCCTCCTCCTCCTGTCTCTCCTCTCTCTCTCTCTCTCTCTCTCTCGCTCAACACTCAACGCCACACCACAACCTCACCTCTCACCTCACCCCACCCCCACCCGACCCCCATCAGCTATCCCTTCCTTCCGTGCTTTGCTGCGTCGCCTTGGCCTGGGCTTGCCTTGCCTTGCCTTCTCTTCCACTTCCTTCCACCACCCACCTCCGCACCTCCCTCCTTCCTCTGTCGCTCTCGCTCGCTCTCTCTCTCTCGCGCTCTCTCGCTCGCTCGCTCGCTCGATGTCGTCGCTGTCGACGATGGTGTCTCCGCTGCCTTGGAGAAAGGAGCGGCGGAAGGAGAAAGGGAAATCTCGGCCCCGCGCCCTCTTTTATACAGCTTCCGGCCCTCGACGTCCGAACTGATCGATCGAACAGGAAGGACCGGCTTCCGGGTCTACGTGGTGGGGTCCGACGGGGAAATCTTAAAATAAGCCTTCCCGTTCCGTTTGTCTGCAAATGACGCTTTGCCCTGTGGACCTGGAAAACCGACCTCGATGGTGTCGAAGTGGTTCGCATCGCTCCCTCCTGCCACGTCACCCTGTCCGCAAGCCCCCGAAATTTTCTAGGGCCGGCCCGCACACGTGCGGAGGTACGCCCACTGTACCTACACTTAAGAGCTGTTCCCAGTCCACAACTCTGGGGACGGGCCGGCCCGGCCCGGGACACGACACGACTCGCCTCGACTCGAAGGCAAGCCAAAGCCCAAGCCCAGGCTAAGCCAAGGCAGCGCAAAGCAGAGGCGGAGGCAAGGCGAAGCAGCGGGTTGGTCCAGGAGGCTCAAAACGTCGCCCTCCGCTTTGTGTGTGAACGAGCGGACGAACGTTGTAGGGTAGGCTGGGGTGCTGGCAGGAAGAACTAACCGGAGGATACTGGACCACGGGTCTAGCTGGAGCCAACCTTGGTCAGGGGTGGGGGTGTAGTCGGGACCCAATCATGGGGTAATTGAAGTGGACATTTACTCTTACTTCTCAGTTTTTAGCCGACAGGCGGAGCGTAGATCCCGAGGATAAATTATACACCACAATAAAAAGTAAAAACCGTCGGTGGGTAAAAGCGGAGAGGTGAAAGGGGCGAAGGAAGGGCGGGGCGAGTAACCACAGTATAGTAAACTTCTGGCGGGGAGACTAAGACAAGGAGAGAGGAGTATAAACGGTCGCAAAAGTACACAGGCAACAAATATCAGCGCCAAATCTAGCTGAGATGGGGAAGGACGGCGGAGCGTCAGGTAGGCCAAACCACCGACAAACCCGTACCGAAAGTGTCGTGGAAATGGCGAAAACTGCAAACGGATGGCGAATGATGCGATTTCCGGTTTCTTCCCTTGACCATATGCGATGGCGACGCTTTTCCCGTCCTGGGCCCGCACCTCTCCCTTCCCTGCCCTGCCCTGCCCGCCCCACGCTCCCTTTACATTTCCCCTTCTCCACTTCACCGCAGGTCGCCTGACGGCCGCCGACGCGGAGGACCGTCGCTTCTCCACCCCTCTCCCCTCGCTCTCGTCGTCTGGGCTCTGGACTCTTCCAGGCCGGGCAGCATTCACGACCATCGGGCCATGATAACACCAATCACGTATTTTTGCGGCTTTCCCTTCTGCGCTTATTATTCTCGCCTTCTTTCCTACTATTATTATTATTATTATAAATTTCACTATTTCGCAGGGTTTGCTCTGCCGCTGTGCCGGATGAAACCAAAGGAGAGGAAGCCAGGACTGAAGGTTCCTACGGACCCCAGGTCCACGAAAGATAATCTCGTGTAGCTGATCTTATTCCCTTTTCCCTACAGAGAGCAATAGGACAGTATCTGCTGCATAACTATGCGAAGTTGCACTCATTTCTCTAGCAACGAGGTCATAAAATAATCGGCGAACATGTCTGTATTGATGATTGATGAGCTTTGGCCATACCACACCGTAGCCCCTGGCCTGCCCTGCCCATGGCATACATGAGCGCGACCTCTCGGAGCTGCAAGGGCCTGGCGAGGTATTGAGTATAGTCGCACTGTGCACCCCACAACATTGATAACGGACTCCGAACGAACGCTCATCGGTGCCCTCTGCGGGAATATAATACTCGCGCGACCCGATACTGGGCCTCAGTTTAATAGTTTATGGTCACAAGTCTCATCTAATCACGCTGTAGAAAGGTGCTGTGCTGCCCTTGTGACGCCCCATGGTCCATGCGATTAACAAACTCCTACAGTGCTGCAGATGTTCTCTTCCGCTTCCTCTCCTCCCTCTCCTCCCTCTCCTCCTGCCTTCCTGAGCTCAGCGCCCTCTCTCTCTGAGTCGGCCTTTTGGAGCATTCGGCGCGAGCGTATTGGGGTCAATAAAATCATGGAATCATGATACGAGCAATACGTGGGCCAAATACGAGAATGTGGTCAGTAATGAGAGAAGACAAAGCTGGAGGAGGAGGAGGAAGGAGAAAGGGAGCAGATGTAGTGAAGGGACCGGACCGGGCGAGCGAGGGGCGAGGGGGGAGGGGGGAGATGAGAGGACGGGACTCGTAGACATGGCCCCCATGACATGAGCGAATGAGTGAGTGAATGAATACGGTCACGTGCATAGCTACTAAATGTGGCTTTTTGAGATTTGAAGAAATTATGGCAATATTTGTGAAACGCCTCCTCGAGTGGCATCATGCCTGCCCCTCTCCCTCTCCCTCTTTCCCTTCGCTTGCCCCTTAACCACGACAGCTCCACTCCTTGCCATCCCACAAATCCTTCGCCCCGACCCGCCTGAATGCCACTGTAGTCGGCCTCCCCCCCCCCCCCCCGCCCCCACACCGCTTCCCATACGAGCTCGCATCCTCAGAGATCCACATGCGCTGCCTCGACGGGCCCATGCTCATGACATGTCGCAGGTGCGAACTCGGCATGAATATGGTGCATTTCGCCGAGGCCGCAATATGCTCGGAGCTCGGAGCTGGGGGGGAATTCGGAGCTGCGCATTTCGATCGAGTCACGTGAAACAGTGAATCCTGCGCCTCGTTGTTGGACCCGTAGAAAAAGAAGTCGAGGGGTGATCAGAGTCGGGCCGAGAGCAAGGGAGGCCGGGCGGGCTGTCTGCGGTCCACGCGTTCCATGATCATAAACAGCTATGGCCCAAGTGGCCGTCCCCAAGGGCCCTCTCTAGCGATGTATATACCATTTAATATCTGAAATCTGCGTTTCGGTGCCGGTAGTCGCGACCGGTGAAAACCAGTCAATCCTTTAATGCCACCATTAATGCAGCGCGCCAATACGCTTAATTCTCGCCGATCAATTCGACTGCCGTGCTTACTTTAACCCCCACCTAATTAACTATCGTTGATTAAATTAAACAACGTCGCAGGGCTCGCTTTACAGTGCCCGTGGGCTTGGAACAGGCCGGGCTGTTCTTGTAGCCAGACCGCCCACAGATTACGCCGCAATTCAGCAGATCAAACCCGATTTTTGAAAACCCCGTCATTGAATCCTGCCCGCACCGGCCCCAGCCTGTCCAATACCAGGATGGTTCATGGATTTGACAAAACAACCATTCTGCTCGAGTGCAAAGACATGTACAGTCATTACGTCGAGATTCTCCAATATTCAGCAAATCTTTGCACAGTCATCCCACATCGCCAAATGAATCTGGGATTCTCGAAATGCAGAGCCCAGTTTTCGGCGTGCGTACTACAGTCCAGACGTCGCAGGCTGTTTGGTACCGGTGTAGGTGTGATTTTGACTTTTGGAAACTTCGGACAAAATGCTTTACTTAGCCTCCCCTCGCATTTCTTCAACGGCGAAAAGTTTGTTCCCTAACCCTAGAAGCGATCATACATTCTCGTATCGCCGGCAACCGTGTTCGCGGTCATGCAAAGATCATAATTTCTTCTTCTCTTTTCCCCCTCAAATCGATCTTCCATCTTCCGAAGGACTGGAATTTGGAAATAGTCCACAGATTAGACGGCGCCATTCATCCATTCACGCACCAGACGGCAAGCTTATCATCACGGCATCATGCCTCGATGCTGCACCCCCAGCATACCTACACACAACGTGAATGAGGGCTTTTAGTCATTTCACCCATAAACTTAAATAGGTTGAGTATAGCGTCTACCTTTGGAATACTATACTATATATATCATTCGTGTCTTGCTTTATTTTAGGTGTGTAAATCATCAAATATTTTTCACATACATATTAATCTATACTAAATATCAAAACGCCATAAAAATCACAATTCTAAACAATTAACATTTTTCGATAGAATACTATACTTAGTTCAACTTTACATATTTACAAATTGATTATATGTGCATTTTGAATGTTTGATAGTAAACATTAATTTTTTTAAATGAAAAATTATTTTAATTTGAATTTCAGAATACAAAATTCCAAAATATGGGATATTCTTGCAATCATGCAAATAATCTAATATATTGAGATGTAATTTTTTTTAGAACAATTCGAGTTTGTCAACAAAAAATTTATTTAATATTATAATTGTAAAAAATAATTTAAATAATGTGTTACAGATTTATTTAGCATTTAATTATCATTGGTAAACTAAGATAATTAATTTTATATTAATATATAGTATTAAGTTAATGTGACAC